GGGGGGGGGTAATCTAACATGGCATCTCTGGACAAATGCTAACTGCATGAGTCAGAGGTGGTGGGCGGCCGCTTTCAGGTAACAGACCCACTTCATTTTGTTATTGCTACAAACTAAAGTCTGTTAACAAAACATTTCACTCCACTTTCAGACAGACAGCTTGGTGGCAGACGGAAAGAGAGACTGTCGCCCAGTAGGGCCGAGTCTCCAGAGCCTTGCCAGGTCTCCTCTGTCGTCGGAGGAAACCTCCTCCTTCCAAACCAGATCCCCTCTCTGTGTCCGACCCTCTGTGTCCAACCCCACTGTGTCCGACCCATTGTGTCGTCCTCATGAAGCCATTCAGTGACCTAGAGCTGCAGCCATGAGTCAGTTCACTGGTAGAAAATGAACCTCAGCTATTTAGAAGCAACAGTCACCGACATGTTCTGGTTCCACCTTCTTTAATGTGAGGAGCTGATGCTTTTCTTTGTCAGACATGAGAATCAGCTGAGTCTCTGTGGGTCTGCTGGTTGGACACAATGAGACGTGTGGAGACGCCACCTTTGGCTCTGGAGAGTCACAGTGGGACTTTTCCCCAGTGTCTGACATTCTGGGGACAAACGGATCAATCGGATCATCAGGACAATGATCAGCTGATTGATCAGTGACCCTGCTGGTTGTGTCTCCACTCAGTCAGAAGCCTCCTCTCATTTATCTCCATCTGTATCTTTACTGATTTGATCTCCAGCAGGTGCACACAGGTTGTGATCTTTATTCATTTGAAGCAGACCAGAGATATCTCTGATGCTCACTAAAAGCCGGCATCACTGCAAAGCTCCATGCAACGGTGCTGCCATCGGTGACTCGTGGTTTATGAGACTGCAATAACAGGAAGTGCTAATGGTGCTGTAAGTGCATAAAAAAGAGCCATTTCAATGCATTTCCAGGTGTATCTGCTGCATTATCATCAGATGTTTTATGGAGCAGATGTTATGATGACTTACACTTGGACACAAATGCTGCCCATTAAGATTACAACGCTGCAGTGAGTGGTCCTGGTACTTCACTGTAAGGGTAGGATTATGTGCCTGTGGATAATTAGTTCATCGCTGATGGCAGGCAGCAGCTGTACTATCCTGCCTTTTTCATTTTTATCCATCCAACAGAGGTGGGAGTAAGTCACAAGCATGTTTCAGGTTTCTTTGGTGAGAGTCAGGCAGGTCAAGTCCCTCCTGTAAGTCGAGGTCAAGTCGGGTCACGTTATGGGACTATCATGTATTTAAATGAAATGTTCACTGACCTCCCTGATTATTAATTGTGCATTAGTTGTGCTATAAACTAACCTTTATCTATTAAATTAAGACATGCCTTTCATGGCCATCAGAAACTCTTCTCAGTAAATAACTAATCAAGTCTAACAGCTTAAACATAACGTTAGCCTTCTAGCTAATGTTTGACCAGCTGATAAGTCAGCTAGCCTTAGCTGAAAAGACACATGCACGCCCTTACTGTTTGTGAGTTTTATAGTAATAGATGACGTTGGGTGTTGTCCTGGTCATGTCACCAATGTTTGCACTGTGGATTTTACCTTCTCTTCTTACTGCCGTCATCGACAGCGTAATCCTTGAATCCAAATCTTATTATTTCCTGTGACTTGTGTTCCATCTGCTGGTCTGCCACGTTCTGGTGGGTTGCCAGGTTTGCACGCACTGCAGTAAAAATCACCCAACTGTGTTTCAAAAGATGTAACTCAATATCTAGAAAAATGACTATTTAATAAATAATAATTTTGAGTTGTGTGTCTCGAGTCTAAGTCTTTTACCACTGTTTGTCAAGCAAGTCCTCAAATTTGCAACTCAAGTCTGACCCAAGTCAGGTCATGTGACTCGAGCCCCCCCCACCTCTGCTTCTGCTCTGTGTATTTCTGCCTGTAGCAGCTCATCTGTCAGTCTGGTGTTTGCAGCTACACCACAGGTTGCCAGGCAACCGTGTCTGAGCTGTTAACTAAACAACCTGAGTCTATAGATCTCTTTAATGAGAGCGACTGGTTTCATCGTCATTTGCATCTTGTTACTGGAGTTTATAGATTTCAGTCACAAATCTGAGGCCACCTTCTCTTAGGATTGTCTGTAGGATTAAACGTGTCTCGTACTCAGGCTGGTTGTTTGGGGCTCTTTCCTGAAAATCCCTGCTTATACCAGGTCACACTCTGTATAATGATGCACTACTGTGTCCATAAACCTCCCAGTTAAGCATTTTCTGCTGCTTCTATTAGGATCAGCAACAAAAATGTGGTTTACTGAAGCACTGAGTTGTTGAATTTTAGTTACAGTAATTATCAGGCCTGGATAAAAATATAGATTTTCTGATCAATTGTGATTCTTGGATGAGAGATTCAGCATCGATTCTTGAAATGCAGAGATCGATCCTTGGCGAGCTGTAGCAGCTCTAGGGAGGTGCGTACCTGAATGAGATGGGCCGACACCAGCCTGTGCAGGACCTGGCACAAGGCAGGATGTCTTCGTCTTCCTAGCATCCAAACAAGTTCTGGGACAGTTTACCTGAAAGCAAAGGCCCAACATGTGTTTCCAGAATCCTGTTTGGGCCTTAGCTTTAATCTGAACTAGGATGTGAAAATCCAGCTGCTGAGCTGAGCTGAGCTAACCGTGGCCCGATCGTTGCTTTATATTTCACTTCAGAGTATCAACTCTCATCTAATGCTCAGCAAGAAAGGGGAAAGACAAACTTCCCAGAATGCAGCACTGATCACACCGCTAAGACCACACTTTGCTGGACTGACCCTGATAAAATGTTTGCACATTAAACAGTTTTACTTTAGAAAAAAATCTACTTACAACCATTTAAAAGTCTTCTTGTCTAAAAAGCTAAGTTTCAAAGTTTGGTTTAATTAACTCCATGAGCTAACGTGAATGAACGTGCACTCCTGAGACTGTTCAGGCTGTTGTTCTTTCTGTAGACGTAAGCGAATCGGCCTGTCGCTCGGTGTTTCCCAGCAGCTACAGTGAAGAGCGATGCAGATTGATCAAACTGTAAATGCCAGGCTTTGCACTCAGTCCCACAGAAAGTCAAAAGTCATTCTTGGCAAATGTTGAAATCAGGATGTGAAGTGGAACAGACGTGGCTAACGGGGTTTAAAGGGACACATCCACTTTATTCTTTAAACAACAATGAACATCTTGAACTCACTGTTACATCCATTTGCTCGAGTCTCTCCCTGATCCTTTTACCTCTTGCCTTCTGTTCAGACTGAATCACATCCAGTCAGTCAGGTCAGATTTGTACTCGCTGGCCCGTGTGCGTGTCAGGCTCGGTGCACTTCTGTGTTCAGGGTGGACTCACAGCGGTTTCTCTCATGTCTGTGGTACTGGGTTAAAGACCAGGTGTCATTGTCTGCTCTTTTATTTCTATATGTTTCTTTGTGATGTTTAAACCTCGTGATGAGGAAAATGGGCAAGTGTGGGCAGATCGGACCAGGCTTTAAACCTGGTGATGAGGAAAATGGGCAAGTGTGGGCGATTTTTGCCATGTGTGAATGTTTTTGCAGCACGAGTACTTTTTTGGTAAGTCGGGCCATTTTTACAAAGTGAGGACATTTCTGCTGAGGACAGTTGCACAACCCTCTCCCCATTTAGTAAAGTACACGGAAGGTTTGCCTCGTGTTTGTTTTGCTCTGAAGTTTGATCACAGGAGTTTCTGTGAGATCCCGAGTCCCTGAGTCACTATTCACACAGTTTAGTAACAAGGGCAGGTGTGTGGTCCTGCATCTCGACCGATCCTCTAGTGCTCACCGAGCAGAAAGATCACTTAACATGTTTATGAACATCAGTATTTGTGACTCATGTTCTGCTTGGTGCCTTAACTGGCAGCTGTTTGAGCTGTGTCTGTGTCTCCGTCTTCCTTCTCCACACGCCGGTCAGACAGCAGAGATTATCTGTCTCTGCCAGTCTCCATTAGAGGCTGTTTAGAGCAGGAGCGATGTGTGTTGTGGTACGGGAAGGAGCACTCGTGCATGTGTTTGCTGCCCTTATCTCTCCATTTCAGCACTAACAACATGAAGCTCTGATAACAGGCAGATTGAGGAGTGATAGAGTGAGAAGGACAAATAGTCACAAACAGAAAACAGCAGCTAAAGCACGAGTTTTCATCCATGTGTCTTTAACCTGCACATGATGGCAAAGTAAATGAGAAAGGAATGAAAACAGCTGCATTCAATAAAGCCACCAAATCTTTGTCATGCTCGTTGGATTGGAAGCAGATTTGTCTGAACTCGAAACAGAAGGACTCTGCTGTTTACTGGTCGCACCATGTTGTTGCTTCATGCTCGTTGGATTGGAAGCAGATTGGTCTGAACTCGACACAGAAGGACTGTTTACTGGTCGCACCATGTTGTTGCTTATTGCTGCTTCTCACGTGGCCTTTAGTGATCTCATGCCCGTTAACTGCTGTGTTCTCACAGCGTGTTGTGGTTTTCTGCACTCAAATCAAATGTTAAGAATGACCATTAGAAAACATGACGGCTACACTTTTCCATTTTGAAGGCTTCAGATTCAACATCCACCTCACGTGGAGCTGCATGCTGCGTATTATTCAGACATGGATGTTCCTGTTAACAGTCATGACGTTTCTGGTTCTTCCACCGTGATGGCAACATGTAAATGAACCATCCCAGACTATGACTTCTGTGCCAAGACACGCCGCTCACGTTTTCTTTTCCCTGGTTCGCTGTGATATGAAGTGTGACACTTGTCAGACGATGAATCCTGAATACGCTGGCTTTTCCTATAAACCCACCATCTTGTAAAATTTAATTTGCCTTATACTTTAGTTTGTGGCTGAGTACCTGCAAAACGTGCATTCCCATCAGCCTCAGCGGTACTTTGAGTTTAATGCTAATTAGCACAAGTTAGCACGCTAACATGAGACGATCAGCTACAGCATCAGTATAGCTTCACCCAGTTTCTTCATTTTGCCACAGAAGGATACCTGGTCCAGCTTTAAACATAATGTTTGGGGTTTGGAAATACTCAAAACAAAGGAAGCCACCCCCCAGATTTCTAAAATGATACAAGTATTTTCACCTGCCTGTCTCGCCTTCCTTCCATTTGGTAGTTTCACTGAAATCCACCTTAAATCATGCGTCTCATAAGAAGCCAGTAGGCAAAGCGCCGTCCATCACTACATCCTACTCTAAGCTTCTTTCCTTCACACGGCCTTCCATGCATCCAGCCAAGAATTTACATTTCATCTACATTTTCAGCTGATGCACTCGCCTGGAGCATGTTCAGAAGAAGAATTAGCATAAACTGACTGTTTCTCCAGCGTAGCAACTTTCATCTTTCACCAGTAAGAGAAATGAAATGAGTTACAAGGGCTGAACAATGGCAGGTATTCATCTGGAACAGCACCTCGGCAGCAACAGTGACTCAAAAATGTATCACTTGTTCCCACCACGCCGCCCTCAGACTGATGAACTCGGAGCCCTGAGCGGTCTGTGCTTACCAAACCTTGTGATGGGAGGCCGGGAGCTGCACAGTCATCCATCCGTGCAGTCATTCTTCTACAGACCCTGCTAGTGAGCAGCTGACTTGCTGAGCCACAAACATACAGTAGATCAGACAGGAGCCTGCACAGGCTTCTGCTGTGTAGGTGGATCTGTGCAGCAGGGAGAAGAAAACCTGCACTCTCACTTCTACCTGTCAAATGTGTGTCATTGCTTTGTCTCTGCACAGTGTGAAGAGCTCAGTGGCCTGTGGCCAAGCTTCAGGCTCTGGGAAGCAGCTGTGGCCCACAGCTTCTTTCCAGCCGCTCTAACTTTGACTTTAAATGGAAAAGGACTCAGGATTATTGACAAACCACAGATGATGACCGTCTCTGTCAACATGCTGATGTTTAGCCGTGCTCGCAGCACAAAGGGCAGCAGCGTATTGGTGTGTACATACAGGAGGACGTGGTTTGTTAGACGACAGTCAGAGCAACAACTTTGTCACCATGTTTTTGTGTCATTTACATGAGACGTGCTCTGTGCAGCAGGTCATCAAACAGTGGAAGGCTGTGTTTCTGACTTTCAGGTTTTATCCTCCATCCACATTCACCACAGACTTTAAAGGTTCGAACCCGCAGCAGCTCAGTCATTTGTTTTGTGTTTCATTACCTGATTTGTGTGTTTTTATACAATTTGCATTGAAACTAACAAACCAACCAGGCCAATTTGTAGGTTTATTGTCCTTTACCTTCAGATGCTTTGCACATCCTCTGCACTCCCTCTCTCTTCTCTAGTCGTCCCACAGCTCCCTGCTGTCTCATGTTCGCCGTCTGTGGTGCATGTTGTTTGTGCGTCTGTTCCCAGACGCTGTGACTGGCAGCTTCATTACTGTGAGGCCGCGAACGCTGATGAGGGAAAGAATGAACTGTGCTGAAGTGGTGACACATGCAGACCATGGACACAGAGTTTTCAACAGCACTGCTGGAGAGGTATTACTGTGTGTGTGCACAGTGAAACGTGTGTGTGCAGTCACTGTGTGTGTGTGTGTGTGTGTGTGTGTGTGTGTTGCAGAGTTTCAGGACGACAATGTGAAATGACATTCCCTCAGACTGACTTTTGGATTTAACACATACAAGAAATTCTCAGTCTGATGGGAAGTAGGACTGTGTGCGACTGATGTTGTACAACACTCTGCTGGTCCTGACTAGTGTCATCAGTCTTCTGGGGGCGGGGGGGCACTGCAGCACCGGGAGCCTTAACCACTGCGATGTTTGTATGTGTGAGTTTATTCAGAGACCTACCTCAGTGATTAAAGACGAATAGCGTTAAAACCAGGAAGCTAAGGTGAGATTTGTAACAGCTGGGCTAAAACCACTCTTTAAATTTATATTTAAATTATGGTAGACTGTAAAACCACTGTACCATAATTTAAATATGAATTTAAAGACTGTAAATACACCTTGACATGTCCTCACTGCATAAGATACTTTTTTTCTTGCCACTGTAACGGAGCCAACGCTGACGTTATGTCATACATATGATGTTCATTTGTGCACAGACGCCAACAGACTGTTGCTCCAATAAACCAAATGGGATTTGACTGTAACACCAAGGATCATTATCGACAGCTGGACTGTCATGATTCAGGACCATGTTTTCAGAAAGGGCCTGTGAACACCTGCTTGTACAACGTGGCCGTCTGAGGACAAACCGCCACGTTTCCAGTGTACAGTTCCTGTCTCACCCGTTTGTTTGCCGTCGTCTATCCAGCCGCCAGGCGCCCTTGGACTTTCCCTTCATTTGTCACCGGACCATCACTGCCCACTCACACACCTGCACCCAGTTTCCTCATTATCATATTTATGCCAGCCACTTCCTCTTGCTCCTGCCAGGTCATCTCTCACGCTGCAGCAGCTGCTTCGGGCAGAACATCACTACCCAGTGACTTTGTGCCTGGCAGCCTGTGCACACCATGACGTGGTCTTTATTAAAGATACTGTGCTGCACCTGCCTGTGAGTCTGTGACGGTGGGGGGGGTCACTGTGAATCCTTGATGTTTTGATTGGATGGATGCTTTTTAAACCAAACAATCTTTTCAAATTTATAGTCAGCTGTTGAGTGGCAGGTTATCAACACTGGATCTTTTTGCTTCCTTTAATTAAAGTATCACACAATTTTCCATTTTTTTCTAAATATTGTCCAACGTTTGCATCTGTCAACAGAAGAAAATGGTACAGTGCACGAGTAAGGGGTGTGTCACTTTAGTTTCTATGATGTTTCATCTCAAAGAAAAGAGAAACCGTCTTGTCTCGTCTTCGGACAAGAGTGTGAAGTTGTATTTCATTTGAGGTCGTATGACTCCAACACCAGATTGTGGTAGTGTGACAGTCTCCTCCCGGTTCCCAGGATTTTTCCCTCCTGCTGCTCCCGACTCTCTCACGCTCTAGTACTGTAGACACATAATTCAGCAGCTCCCTCTGTGTAAATGTTGGTTTGTTTCCCTTGTCTCTTTGCCAGATTATCTGATCCTCCAGCAGCTTCAGCTTCCAGCCCTTTGTGTGTCCTAGTGGTAGTTTCTCTCCTTGTGTTTGAACTCGGCCCACGCCTCCACACCTGTCACACAGCTCCACCCATTTGGACTTTTTTCCTTGGTGCACATTAAACTGTCGGGTCCTATTTCTCCGGTAAGTCGATTCTAGTTGAGTCGTGACAAGTAGTAACGAAGGCACTGCTCCCACACTGTCCATGACAGCACAGCGCTGCTTGTCATAAACTAAAGTAGTGGTGTTTTGGCCTCGTTTTAAATGTGGAGTCCTGCTCCTCCCTCACAAGGCCCCACCCTCATCGATCTGCTTCATCAACACACTCCCTGCCATGGCCTTCTCTCCTCTGATGACAACACCATGTCTCTGCCATTCAGGTCCGAGCACCTGACCCCGGGAGACGGGACCTTTTCTACAGCTGCTCCCTCCCCAGACACGTTCAGGACACGCACACGGTCATAATCCTGTTCTGCAGAGAGTCTGAGTGTCCATAAATAAAATATACTTTATTATGATTAATAATGTGTTCACAGTCACACTGTGGGGACTCCCCTTACACTTGGGGAGGTTTAAGTCAGGTTAAGGTTGGTGTGTGTGAGCATTAGAACTTATTAATGTGGGTCTGCAGCAGGCAGCAGGGTCTGTCCTGGGTCCTCTGGTCTCACTTATCACTGGTGCATCCAGTTGTTGATGCCTGGAACAGGAGTATGTAAGTAAAGTGAGTGCATGTGAATGGAAGTGTGATGTCCTGTGAAGTGAAGCGTGACTGAGAAACCGAGGGAGGTGTAGAAAAAAGAAGTTCCTGCTACATGGTCACATTGATTTGTCTCCCCCAGGAGGATTTACAGCAGCGTTTCTGTCCCAGGCTCAGAGGTGACAACGCCAACAACTGGCTAAATATTTTCCCTCCTTCCCCTCGTCTGCACTTATCTGTACTTTCTTCTCCTCATCTCCTCTGAATATTTCCTTTCTATCATATCTTCTTTCCTTCCCTCTCATCTTATCTTTTCTCCTTTCATCTCTCATTCCTCCTTCCTCTTGTCTCCTCCTCTCATTGCCGTGTTTTTCATTGGCTTTACCTTCCTTCATTCCTCATTTCTTTGTTTCTTTCTTGCTTCTTTCTCTTCCTCTTCTCTCCCCTCCTTTATCTCCTAATTCCTTATCAAGTGTCCTCATGTTATTTTCTTCTCTCTTGTCTTTCCAGTCTTTTCTCTTCGTCTCCTCTCCTTCTCCTTTCTCCTTCTCTCCAACGACCAACTATAGTCCCCTATTCCTTCTCTCATCTTTCTCCACCTTCTCCTTTTTTAAAATCCCATTCTTCTGCCACGACCACCCCCCCGTAAAGAAAAAAACCCTCCTCCTCTGTTGCTCCACTCTGCGCCGTGCGTAAAGCGCTGCAGTCCCGTGTCCCTGTCCAGAGCGCACGGAGAGAGCACAGAGGAGAAGATGGGGAGGTCCTACGTCTTAAATACCGAGATAAGTGCCCTTTTCGTTCTTCTTCCCCTGTTCTGAAGACGGACTCTGTCTTTAAAGCTTCGGACATGTCCTGCTCCTCGGAGCGTCTCGTCTCTAGGACACGTGGCTAAATGTGGCGCGCTGACAGTGAAAGCAAAGTGGGTGTCGGCGCTAATCTGAGGCGGAATTGTCACGTGTTTCCTAAAAACGGGAAAACACAGAGGAGGACTGGCCCTGCTGTCAGACTGTAGAGGGTTGAGACAGAGGCTCCGTGGGACGGACGGATCCGGATCAGAGGATGCGGATTTAAAGTCACTGCAGTCATTTCTAGAAAACGTTTTATAAATGTATGTTGATCTTTTTTTAATGGCAACGCAGAGAGTGACCGTCTCCGTGGAGTCCGTCCGGGCAGCGACAAGGACCGAGAGGAGCGAGCCGGGATCTGTGGCTGGGACCCGAACTGTGCGCTGACCGAACCGGAAACAGAGGTCAGTGTGACAGTCGCCCGCTGTACCATGTCCAGGACATGCGCGTGCACAGGTGGTACAACACACGTGCATTCTGTGCAGAGAAGAAATTATATTGGTAGAAATAAAATATTTCGTTGCACTTAATTTCACCACATTTTAAGAGAAGTTACAGATTTTTAATGAGTGAAACCCAGTGAACCCTGAGCCTGGTCACGGGCACGCGAACAGGCACAGGAACCAGGATATAAGGAACTAAAATCATTAAAATATATCCGTTTAGAAACGTGCATGTAGTCATTTTCATTATTGAGGTTTTGTGTTGTGTAAGCACACTGAAATGTTATTGAATGTACATTTAGTCATTTAGTTTATATAATTGTGTGTGTTCATATTTTTGTGTCTACATGTATTTCAATGCAGGACTGAGTGTGAGGATGCTGGTACATCTGTGATGAAGGCTCAGTGATGCTGGAGAGAGTGCTGTTTAAATATTAAACCATCGTTTCCAGGGATGATGTGGTAAATAATGATTGGTTCACGCTCCAGCTGCTCTTTGTCAGGGTTTTTCCATATTTCCTCGGTGTTTTGTGCAGGAAGCTTTTGGATCAGATAAAGGTGTGTGACACCTAACGTGGCTGTGGACCATATAAAGGTGTGGTTTATACCCAAAAAGTCCTTTTTACTGTGTGTCCAAATGGGATCGGGCAGGAATTTAGTTTCAATTTGATGCCTTATCTTAACCCCCGGCCATCGGAGGCTGACAGCTGGTGACCCACTTGTCCACTGTATGGCTCTAACCCAACTTTAATATCCTCACCCATCAGATGTTCTAGTGCAGTGGCTTTCAGGGCTCCTTCTCCTGCTGAGGCTGAAAACGGCACTGAGTGATGTGAGTGAAGAAATGGGACAAACGAACAATGGGCCGAAAGACACTTTAAAAAATGGATCTGATTTAAACAGGTGAGGCTTCGCTGAGACAAAGTCTCTTTTACAAGAGTCACCTGGCAGCAAAGGTTACAACAAGGGAAACAAACACAACAGTAAACAACCAGGGAGCTGCAGAGTCGGCTCTGAGACCGTTTCTGTTCCACGTGCACGTAAATACTGACCAATGCTTCCACAAATCTTCAGTTTATGGTTGTCTTTGGATGTTTTCACCGGCCCAGATCTCAAGCACTTCACTTCGTTAGTCCACAGATCCTCTCGCAGCCATGTTTATCATTTTAACTGACGAAGTCAAACAGCTATGACGTCACAGCCCCCCACCCCACCCCCACCTGTGGTTGCAGTGTGCAGGACCATCTTCTCGGCAGATGCTTTAAAGTAATGAGTGAATCTGAATCACAGACGGTTTGCAGAGTCCACGCTGCTAGTTGCCCTGTACCCCCCCAGGATGAGGCATCGGCTGCCCTGGTCTCTCTGCTTAGGAGTGTAGTGTGCAGAGTGTGCGCTGTTCAGCTCCACACACACAGGGAGCAGAGTGATGTAATGACTGCTGGCAGCTCAGTACCAACATGTAACACCTCCAGACATGGAGCCCCGACCCCCCCACCGGTGGACATGTTTGGCCTGATGTCCTGATTTAAGGGACAGTGTCATTTAAAGAAGGTGGAGCATTTTGAAACGCGTGGTCCATGAAACAGAAGACGTCAGAGTTTATAGCCTTTAACTACAACAGTGGCAAATTAAACTACATCCCCACCTGCCTTCATCCAGGGGAGGGACTGGGTGGTGGGGGTGGGGGGTCCGATTGTTCAGGGGGTCGGGACGTTTTCAGAAAACAACATCTGTAGAAAGTGAGGAAGCCTAGGACATTTTTGGCAAATGAGAAAAGAGGAAAATCTAGGACAATTTCTTGGCTGGTGATCACGCTCATGGAGACGACATCTGGAGGAGGAGGCATCCTGGGAAGCACCAAGAGGTTTTGGAATGTGAGAACATTTGTGGAGATTAAGGACGGGAATGTGGGGGGTGAAGCATGCATGAGGATAGTCAGGCCATTTTTTGACAAAGCATGGACTTTTGGAGCAGTGGGGACATTTCAGGTGTTTCTGCAAAGACATTTGTGAGACATTTTGAGAAGTGGAGGGCTGCTTGCTACATTTATCAGACGTGAGGACAAATGGGGCTTTTTGAAATCGAGGGGGCACATTCAGTGAAAAGAGGATATCTATGCAAAAGCGAGGACGTATTTGGTAAATGAAAGCATTTAAGTAGATTTAGGACAAAGTGGGACTTGTTTTGGACGAGTGGAGTCTGAAGAGTAGAGACAGTAGGGAAATGAGGACACTGAAAGTTTTGTAACGTGAGGACCTCTTGACCTGAACTTGTTTCATTTCCTGCTTTGCACGATCTGTTTTCCATAACGCCGTGTGATGTGCGGCCATATTTATAGCCCCGGATGTTTTATTAGTGTTATTAGTGTTCTCTGCATGTTGTTCTTGGCGTTTGACACGACTCGATGACGTGTTTGTTTTGCTTGGGGAATGAAACGAGGCAGCGGTTTAATTAAAAGGTCAGCTTTTATATTGTTCGTGTCAGATTGGTATTAGTCACGCTGCATCTCCCACTTGCTCCTCCACTCTCTCTCTTCTTACTCTCCTTTAGTCATGTCTTTTTCTTTTTACCCCTTTTCAGTCACTCATCTCCCCTGTTGGCTTTGTCATTGGTCCATTTCCATGTGTCCTCCTTCCTCTGTCTCCTTCCCTCACTCTCATTTTCTCCCTCTCTAGCGCCATGTGTCCAAAAGTGAGTGGACACCCAAACGTATCAGGCTCTTCTTTCAAACAGATGTTGAGCCAGCTGCAGGGATGCAGACACCAAACAAAGCACAGCTGCTGCTCCCGGCTCACACTCGGTGTTGTAGTCGGGGTGGGGCTGAGGTCAGGGCCTCCTGCCTCTCTCCATCTTCCTCTTTTTCCCTGTGGGGAATTAATTAAAGCTGATAATATTATTGAGACAATCAGCCATAAAACCCCCTGTTTATCTCCTTATCAAACACCTGTCGCCACACGCGGCGTCTGTCAGCGCTATATGGCCGCTGTCTAAATATATTGATTCATTACCACACACACATTCATCAGTACTGTCTGTAGATGTCCAGCCAACGTGAGCACACACAGGTCACCGCCGTCACTCTCACTGATGCTGAACAGAAACAGCAAAGCCTGAAAGTAGAAATGCTCTTTTTATCTTCTCAGACGTTCTCACAGATGTTACCACTGATGAATAGTGGTGGAAACGGAGGTGATGACAGTGGAATGCACTTTGAAAAGGCGGCGAAGTGTCGGTAGAGCTGAAGCTGAACATTGCACGTGACTGTAAATGCAACTTTAAACCTGTTGTTTTAAGATGTAAAACTTCCTTCTAGAGCGGCTGTTGGTGTCTCATGTCTGTTCTCAGGTTAGTTCATCTCCTCTTTCATCTGTTCGTCCTTCATCTGTTTCCACTTCTTTCACACCTGCCACTGAAACATCAAGGTCTTAGTTAATTGTAGCTAATAATCACAGATAATCACTAATGTGTGTGAAATAATCTCCAAGCTTCTCTTTGCTTCTGAGTTTCAGTCTGTATAAAAGCTGGAGACCAGGAAACTAGGTCTAAGGTGATGGGGAGTTGTTAGCGCATTGAGGCTAACTAAACTCTACCAGTAATTCTTCTTCTGGTGTTTTTCAGCTAAGTAAACAGCTTCTGGACTGGAGTACTGTGACGATGAGCTGTAATCAGGTTGACAACGAGTCCAGACACACTCAGCAGAGATGCACTGAGACTGTCAGGTCTCACTTGTGTTTTATTTGACAACGAGACGAGACTGACGAGAGTAAATGGGCCCTCGGGCTGGATCTGAGAAAGAGACCAGGAAGCCTCGTACACAGAGATGACGCTCCTTCACTCCTTCTGAGGAATGAGTTTTCAACTGTGGGAGGTTTACACAACAGCAATAATCGAGTCTTAACCTTCAAACTCACAACTGGAGGGAAACACAATGAGCACAGAGCTGCTCGGGAAGACTGAGGATGCTGTAGATGTTTGGCCGAGCCGTCACGATAACGTGCCTGTCCTTTCTGATGGATTGTGACGTTTTTGTGTTGCTGTTGTGCAGTGTGGTCTTTGCCTTTCTGTCAGAGCTCATCATCTTCTTCAGTCAGTCCAGTCCAGCATTGTTGTTTTAACGTGTGTCGTTCCTCTAGCTCTGCCAAGGGTTTGATCAGCAGCTGGCTAACATCTGACATCGCCTTTTATTTTTACCATCAAAGCCGTTTCCACAGTTGATTTTGGTTGAAATGAATTTCACTGCTTGTGTGAGACGGAACAGATGAAAAGGTCCTGGTCTGTCCGTCTGTAACTGTCAGGCTGACACTGGTCCTCGCGCCACGAGCCTCTGAGTGTGTATCCCAGATTCTCAGTCTCCAAACTGCAGAGCAGAAGCTGCCGGCTTTTCTCCTCTCAGTCTGAACGGGGAGTGATTTACACCAGGGGACCAGACGCTGCTCGGTCTGTCAGAGGAGGGCGTCCCAGGAAATGTGCTCTGACACTTGTATGTCTCATTTCTCTCTCGTTTGTGTCTCAAAGTGTCGAACACTGGAGTTTCCCCACTGTAGGATCAGTAAGGTCTACCCCTACCCCCAGCTTGTTGCTGTCATCAGTCAGGTTGGTCAGTCGTTCATTAATCCTCCATTTGGTTTTGTCTGCACGTTGTAGCCGGGCCCTTTCTCACAGTAAACAGCATAGACTTACCTCCTTTAATGTGGGATGTGAGTTCTAAAATGATATTTAGTTCCATCATCATCATCATCACCTCGTGATTTAATGCTAAAAACCTTCAGATTTTAGGCATCGCATTAATAGAACAGTCTGTTTTTGGTTCCAGTTTTTAAATCTAACTTTGTAAACAGCTGGTTTGCTTGTGTAGAGCCTCATTGATCGTGTCTTGTCCCGTCTCTTTATTCTGAATCAATAGCACCCATTCTTCTTCTGCTGCTGTTCGTCCTAACAAAGCCCTGTAGCACGTCGCTCTC